TACTACTAATAATATTGCATAGTTTCCATTTAGCAAATCTAAGTATATTTAGACTTCAAAAGTTGTATGGGCCACTTCAGTTAGATATTAATCACTCTGGACCTCAGGTGAATTAAAGGGGAAAATGTAAGACCAATGCATTAGTAATGGAATGCATAATCTCATTCCTTTTTTTAAAAAATCAGTTTGAATCTTTCCTCCTTCCCTCCCCATCCCTTTCCTCCTCATTCTTCCATCACTTCCTTTTCTTCCCTCTCATATTTCCTCTTTCCCATATTCTCTTTAGTTTCCCTTGTCATCTGTTTTTCTTCATCTTCTACATTTACTATTATTTTCTCCATTTCCCTCTGCCAGTTTGAAATGCACATTTGAACTTATAATGCCTGGTAGTAGATTTAATGTGATTTTTCTATTAGTGATCATGAATATTTGGGAGGAAAAGATAGTTCCTAAAGCCACTAGAATACATTTTAGTAGCTGTTGTCTATAGTTTCAGCTATACAGAGGTGAAGGCTCAAGGAACATTGCATGAGCACAGAAGTTCAAGGCCCACTGTGGGTCATACAGTAACATCCTTTTTGAAAAACAAGGAATGTGCTTAAGATGAAACTCAATGTCTTACCCCTTGGAAATCATGCTTTCATTTGACTAAGGTGACTTTCAGGGTTAGGGTTAGGGTGACTTTCCTACTTCCATGTTCTTTAATGAGCACTTTTTTGTGTCCAGGCTTGTGGAATAAAGAAGAACACTTGGTCATTAACCCCACAGAGGGGACTGTATCTTCTACATGCAACACTGTATCTTTCATGCTTAGCATAGGGCCATGGCACAGAAGGTACCTGACACATAGCTATAGATCTCAGGAGGTGACACTGAAACCTGAGGACTGAACTTGGAATTTTCTTGCTTATTAGATACGTGACTTGGGTTAAGTTACCTAGGAAGGACTCCAGAATTCAGGTTTCCTAAGTAATGCATATAACAACATAATATAACATAATGTAATAATAATTATATTATATAATATGATGTCTATAGTGTAATGATAATATAGCATAAACATAATAAAAATGAAGACAATTATATCTACAGGCAAAGACCAAGAAAGCTTTCTCTTAAAAGCACTTTTGTGAATATATAAATAGAATTAAGGAAGTATGGGGGTTACATGATAAATTCCAAGAAATTTAAATATATAATTTTAAAACTACTCCAAATACAAAAAGAAATCCCTTTAGAAGTGAGGATACACCGCACTGGCCCATTCCAAGTAACCAGAATAGTAAACATTAAGCTAAGTAAGAGTAACTAACTATTTAATAACTCTTAATAGTAAGAGTTAAGCTAAGAGGTACTCTCCTCTTCTCCCAGAATTGCAGATGTTTTGTTCCCACTTTAATAAATAAATAACCAATATTTGTTTCTGTATGTGTTTCATGCTTTAAGTTTTTGAGTTTGCCTGTAACTTCATAATACTCAACACAGGGACAGTGCCAGTGACCATGCCTGTAATTGAAGTTCCAGGTGTCAGCCCACCGGAAGGGAATCCTCTGATGGGCCAATCTCATTTAGGCACTGCCACGGGACTGCAGACCCTGGAATGTCTTTTGCTTCCACTGTGTCTTTCCATGTTTGCTGCAGCTCTCTTTCTCCAGTATCTAACATGGTGTGAGTGGATGTGGGGAGATCTCCATTGCCTGTACTATAGTGAGCTTATCTCTTGGAAACCTTCTGCTCTACTAGGCATTTTTACCTGTGGACTGTCAAGAAGATGACACCTCTCTAATCTGTACTGTCTAATTTGATAATAATAATGATAGTTTATACATAGTTTTGGTGAATAAAAATAAATGCAAGGCTATGTTTCACAATCAGACTGAGTTTCACCTAAGGAGCTGCATGGATTGTATAGCTCAAGTTAAGGATTAACTACTGTCAGTTGGGATGGGCTTTGAGGTTTCAAAAGTCCATGCCAACCCCAGAATCTCTCTCTCTCTCCGCTTATGAATCAGATAGAAAAGTTTAGCCACCAACTTCATGTATTTCTGTCAAAGTCCTGTGCTGCTGGTAGCTGCCCCTGAAACAGTGGCAGGACAGGTACTGAAGTAAGGACTGATGATGACATGGAGGGTAGTATATTTTCTACCTTCTACCATGAGGTAGAAACTCTTCCACAAGGGTGTGCTGTTATCCAAAGTTATGCTGTGTCACTAGGCTAAACCATATGGGGGTTAAAATCTGCTTCCTGACTCTTTCCTGAATCCACACTTTTCTATCCTCAGGGTCCCTGGCTGCTTACCATTCCTCACTGATGCTCTCTCCTCAACCTTTTCTCTCTGACCTTTCATTTGGGCTTCATGGAGAGGACAGTCAGAGATTCAGTGTTGGGGTCATAAATGATGCCCTAAAAGGAAGGTCTCAAATCATTTTTCTCTCTGACCTTCTCTTGTCTTCTGTTCTCTCACTCCACCCAGCCAGTTTTCTCCCAAGGCAAGACCCAAAAAGTAGAATTTACTTTCCTCAAGTCAAGTCATAGTCAACAGTCAGACATGATCAGTCTGGCTTTCTAGCAGCCAGAAAGGGATCACGTCTCTTTCTGCTCCTGGAGCACTGGAGTGGTTTGAATAGAAATGGTTAAATGAATATCAAGACATTTTTAAACTTGGTGTGTGTGTGTGTGTGTGTGTGTGTGTGTGTGTGTGTGTGTGTGTGTGTGAAAAACTGTCTTTTTAGGCCATGTTCCAATTTTTAGACCAAGTTTGATGGCAAAATAGAAATCCTCTATTTTAGTCTATGTCACTTGCTTTAGATTTCCCTTGAGTCTAGTAATAGATCCAATAGACAGAGCCCTTTCCCCCAAGACCATCTCAGTTGTGGTATGATTCCTAACTCAGGAAATAAAGACACTAAGGACCTTAACACCAAATCCTTCTGTTTCCACATTCAGAGGGCTAGGATTACAGATACGGTTATCACCACACTCAGTTTGTGTGGTATTGTGCTGGAGGTCCAACCCCCAGGTTTTGTGCATGCAAGGCCAGCACTCTAGTGATGGCGCTTCATCCTAAACAGCATGGTCTTTTATTTTATCACCACCTTTAAACTGGAGAAGCAAAAAGAAATAAGCAAGAAGACCAGGTAGGAAGTTACTTAAAGCCTACTGAGGTGAGTCAGAACAAGGTACCATCTTTGAGCTCTGCTGCCCACAGTTCTGTACTTGTTAGAAATGTTCCAAAGCACCCCAAAACAGTGCCACCAGATGGGGACTAAGTGTTCAGACTCATGAGACTGTGGATGGGGAATTTACATTCAAACAATAAAACTGTGTTTGTTTTAAGACACAGTCTCCCTGTGCAGCTTAGGGTGACCCTGACACCACAATCCTTCTGTTTCAGCCTTCCCAATGCTGAGACTAGAGGCATGTGCCACCACTTTCAAGATATGCTATGTGAGGCTGCTTTGATTTTGTTTTATTTGAGTCAGGGTCTTCCTATATACCTATGTATCTCAGAATGGCCTAGAACCTTCAAGGTTCAGACATTAGCCTGTAAGACCTTTAAGGATCTCTTTTCTTTTTCCTTTTTTAAAATTTAAATTAGAAACAAGCTTGTTTTACAATTCAATCCTAGTTTCCTCTCCCTTCCCTCCTTCCCTGCCCCCCAATGGCCTCCTATCCCATGCCCTGTTGGCTCCCTAGGGAGGGTGAGGCCTTCCATGGAGGAATATCTGTTTTCTACATGAACACTTGATCTCTTCTTTTATTTCAGCTACCCTAGTGTCAAGTACAACGCCTTCTCCTAGTATCTGACAGACACTTTATGTTATTGAGTCTTCCTATGATTTTGATTTCCGATGGAAATAATGACTCCAGAGTGTTGGAAACATTTCTGTACTGGAGCCTTACCTGCCAGAGGACACAAAGAGACCACTGAAGATTCACAACCCTAAAGACCTTCACACCTAATTTTGTAAACATTCACAGGTGCAAATATATTCTTGATGAAATATACACATTGAACTAAAGTATTTTTTGTCAAAGACTGGGATTAAGTAAAGAAAATGCTTTCTCCCATGCCAAACTGGACAAAGCTATCATTATATTTGCAGCACTGGTGATCAAACCACGAGCCTTGTGCATGCTAGGCAGGCACTTCACCTCTCAGTTACGCTGTCAGACGACCTACTTATTACAGACATGAAACCACATAGAACAGCCATGGATACTCAGAAAAAGCACGCCTCTAGAATTCAACAGCAGCAATCTATCAACAGTAACACATACAATTAAATCTTTTTCTGTGTGTCTGCCATAAGTGAGAAAACCTAGGACCACATGCACGCCAAGTTTAAAGCTCTTCCTGAAGATTAATGCTTGCTGCACACAATGATTTACGGTAGTAATATGGATAGAAATCACCGGAGGACCATTTGGACTCCCGGGATGGCTCAGGATTCTCCATACTTAACATGCTTTCAGGGGACACTGATCCACAAAGTGCATTCATGTTCAAGTATTGGTAAAGGCATATTACGTGGCCACACTGACCTGATTTGCTAGGTCTATGAGCATAAAGATGAAATCACAGATTTCAGTGAATTCGGTGCTTGTTTTACTGCCCATGCTAAGAACTCTGTTCATCTTCGTTCTCCCTCTTCCACCTTCCTTTGTCTTAGGCCCTTAGATCTTACGGAAATGAACTGTATACCATTTTCCATGGGTGCTAGAGATCTGAACTCGGCTCCTCATGCTGTCGTAGTATTTTACCAAGAAAACCATCTCCCTGGCTCTGAAAAATTAACTCTTAAAAATCAGTCCTCAGCTATTGATTGGCAACATGGTGGTGGTGGTGATGATTATATATATATATATATATATATATGTATATATATATATATATATAATCTTAAAAGTCAGTCCTCGGCTACTGAGTGGCAACATGGGGATGATGGGGAGATCTGTATAATCTTAAAAGTCAGTCCGCGGCTATCTAGATACTTACTTTATTCTTTGCTCCCCACTCAGTCAAACGTCCTGTTAGGGAAAGGCATTATCTGCCTCTGAACAGCAGATTCCAACAGCAGCAAAGGCAGCTACACTCTTCCATAATAATGAACAGGGTGACTGAATCCTGAATTCTCCAGAGATGGGACATCCACCTCCAGAAAGGGCCTGCCATAGCGGCCCTACAAGTTTATCGGAAATGAGCCAACTGACTGGAAAAGGGAGAGGAGGGCGCTTTCTGGAAAAGCAGACTTTTTCCCGTTGACCTGGAGGAGTCAAGTGTCCACCTGCAATGACGTACGTGCATCTGGTTTGCTTGGCACTTCTGCTGAGGCTTCTTCAGCCCTGCCCTCCACAGCGGAAAGGTTGATGAGTACCGATCCACCCTCTGCAGAAGCACGGCTACCTCCACAGGCTGTGAGGGAGGGCTAAACGGACTGGGCTGTGTGCACAATCCCCAGCTATCCAGCGGGAAAGGCCAAGGACGCCACAGCCCGCTGTCATTTGCTGCCACTAGAAGGGGGCCACACAGAGACCTAAGAGGCCACAGCGCCAATGTGCACGGAGGCCACGGCCCCCGGCGGGCGAGGGCGATGGGCGTGGCCGGGGCGGTGCCTGCCACGTGATGGCGGCGGTCGGAGCAGGTAACGCCAAGCTCACCCAGCGGGCCGAGCTGAAACAGCGTTTGCGGACCTTAAGCCACTTCCTCACGCAGAAGGTGCGAGAAGGCTACGGGGAGTTAAACGCCTGGAAGCTCGGGCTCGGCTCGCGTGTCTGCGCAGGCGCACCTCTCCCCCTTGTGTACGAGTCCTCTCGCGTGCTCGCAGCTCCAGTCAGGCCCGGTAGGTCCGGCGGCGGGCTCTGCGGGTAGCCCGGGGCTTCTCCATCGAGGCTGGGCACGTTTGCTCACTCGAACAGAGTTATTTTGTTATTGTTAGGAAAGACATTGCCGCAAGCTTTAGTAGACGTGGAGAATGTGGAACCACGCCTGCACTTTCCAGTTTAGATTTAATTCATTCACATGTGTGTAACACCCAGTAGTAAGCCATTCTGCTGTGTATTGGGTTACAGAGATGACAAAGATGAATATGTAGCACAAGAAGCAGGCGAATGAAAAAATTAGGGCTGGGGATATGGCTCAGTGATAACAACTGTTCAAAAATGTGCTATCTTTTATTTGTACATATTTAGAACATACACTCAATTTGGGTCTGTGTTTCTACTTTCAAATTGTGTCTTTGTTTTTGACAAAACTAGAATCTGAGTTTATCTATGGGTAGATTAATTTTCACATTGTGAGATAATTGCATTCGCACAAGTCGCCCCTTGGGTTTCTGCTTCTGAGTTAGGGTTGTTTATCTGGAACTCGTTGCCTTACTCTGCCTTCTTTCTTATGTACTTTTTCTTCTCAACTTTTTTTAGAGTACATCCTCAAGTTTTTTAAAAGGAAAATACCTATGTGATTGTCAACCTTTATTTTATTTTTAGCTAATGTGTATGCATGTTTTGCCTGCATGTATGTGAATGTGTTTAGAGGTCAGAAGTGGGTGCCAGATCCTTTGGAACTAGATTTAAGGATGTTGTGAGCCCCAGTGTAGGAACTAGAAATTGAACCCAGGTTGTCTGCAAAGAGCATTTAGTGCTCTTAAACTACTGAACCATCTCTTTAGGCCTGACTCTTTAATATATATTAAAATGTTTTCAATTCCCATTTGACCAGTCAGTCGATTTCAAGTTTTTAATTATTTTTCTCATTCTGTTCAACACCTATGACTTCAAATGGAGACAGTGATTTTTTTTATTTATGTATTATATCTTGTGGCTTAGTTACTGTTGTACTGCTCTAAAGAGACACCATAACCAAGGAAACTTATAAAAAGAAGTATTTCATTTGGGGCTTGCTTACAGTTTCCGAGGGCTAGCCTGTAATCACCATGGTGGGAAGCATGGAGGCAGTCAGGCAGACATGGTACTGGAGAAGTAGCTGAGAGCTTACATCTTATCCATAAGATGGAGGGAGGGACGGAAGGAGGGATGGGGACAGAAAGAAAGAGAGATTTTGAACCCTCAAAGCCCACTCTGGGGTCTCTGTGATCATAGAGGTCAGCAGAGTATCAGTGTGAAGCAAGAAGGAAGTCCAGCTCAACACGACTCAGTGGCTGGTGTTAGTTCAAACTTCTAGAGTCTGACACAGGACAGATTATTTTAGACGTATTTAAGCACAGTGCATTTTGGGGAAAAAAAATCCTGGTGATAACTCAATCCTGTGTGTACGACAAAACTTAATACACAGTTACATTGAAATTCTTTCCAAAGTACATGTGTATTCTCCCATAAAGTTGGATTCTGTAGATTGACTATATGTTAAGTGTCTGGGGGAAGATCTGGTATGGTGTTGGTCATACAGTTAGTGCAAAAGTCCCATTTGTACAGTACATGTGACATCTCCACAAAGATAGGCTCTACTGACTGAGAAACCATGGGTCTAGGGAGGATGGCTGAGACAGAAGTAAGAATAAGGGAGAACCTTGTGTAGTCTAGCCACACAGATAGTTCAGTTGTCACTAGGCTACTAACCAAATCTATTCCCAGCTTTCTGGGCAGAAAACAGATGTATGTCTCTTCCTTTGAAGAGACAGTCCTTAGTGTTTAACATTCCTGGTTCCCCTCATGCTCATCTGTGAGCACAAGGACTCTGTCCTCTACAGCACACCCTGAGTGACACTTTAAACGTGAAGGTACACACCTCCTAATCCCTCCTAAATAGTTCCTCATCTGAGAACAACACATTCAGATGTGTGAGCCTGTGATGCCCATTCTCATTCGTACCACTACATCTTGAATTCCAGTTTTTCTTTGGATCGTGCAGGAATTCTTGTTAATTAGATAGTAAAAAGTCTAGATTGATCTTCTGTGTCTCTTAACATTTTTTTCCTAATTTGTCTCCCCACTAAGGATTTCCTACTAGATTGTTTTCATTTTGTTAACCATGGTTTCAGTTTCCAATAATTATTTCTTATGTCTCTTACTGCTTCCTTTCCATAGCATTCTATTGATGGCTTATCAATTCAGTTATTGTTTTCAGATTGTGTAAGAAAACTAGAGTTTAAAAATAATCTCCATTCTTTGTATTATCTGTTTTGTGCTGAATTATTTTTTCTTCCCATTTGTCATTTTAAAAATCTTTCTGTTTTGTGTTTTGGCTTTTCAAAATGGTTGAAAATCATTTATTGGCTATTCATATTTATATCCTTTGGGGATATTGTATGTGGTAGTGAAGACTTCCACCACTCAATGAAGCCCTTCTTGTCTACGTGTTTATTAATGAGTGTGTTAACTACAAGCTACAAGATTCCCTCTGTTTTTGTAGATACTGGTTGGAGTTCTAACAGGAGAATGGGCTCTGTCTACCTCCTGTATTCATGTTTTGTCTATAAGTACTGTCTCACCAGGACTTAGTCAAATTTCTGCCTATTGTCTTCTTTTTTATGATGAGTTTCCTTTTTCCTCCCTTTTAACAAATAGCATGTAAATGGGCATGAAGGAAGGCAGGCAAATGCATATGCATAGTCTCACACTGAATTTTAGCTGTGCCTGACTGCCTATTCAGCTCTTGGTTTTCTATACTCTGCTTTAAAGAGATTAAGAGAAATAGTCTCATATAGTAAGTGCTGTCAAAGCCTTAGGCCTGCTCCAAATCTGGGTTTCCCCTTTCCATTTGCTTCACTTATGCCCCTAGCAGCTTTACAGCTTTTCAGAAACCAGGGGTTGGCTTTCCTCCTTAGCCTGGGTTTGTAAGCTTTGCTTAGGTTCTCTCTTCCCTTTGTACTAAGTGTAACTTGGCTTTCTTTACCTGTATCTTTTTCTGCCAGTCATATTTGTAAGCCACCTTTCTATTATCCTTTTCTTCTTAGCTGGAAGGACAGGGGAGAACAGAAAAGGAATGGAGAAAACAAAGGGAGTTAAGGGCCAACTTCTGTGTCTGGGTAAGTTCCTAGGGTTATGAACAAACTTAGCCCTTTGCCTGATGAGCGATTCCAGTAAATAAGGATTCTTACACAAGGAGCCCCTTGGCCCCACGTCAATGAACTTTGTGAACACCCAGTTGAATGGAATAGTGTTAGTAGAGCTAAGAGACTGTAATAGGGCATGTTCTCTGGGGGAGCTTGTGGACTGATGCAGAATCCTTCATTTAGGACACATGAGCAGTGAGTGACTGGCTCACCTCATACAGACTGAAGTGCTGAGTTGTGTCTCCCTCTAAATGAGTAAAGGTTCTGCAGACATCAGGAAGGTTAGGTCTTGGTTGGCCTTACATAGGTAAAATTAATGGGAGAAATACCCAATAATCCAAGGACTGGAAAATTAGTGAGATTCACATTTCCAAGAGAAAATAACCCAAAAATCCTCAAGTAAGTTTCTGATGTATACTGGAAACTGGGACCACATCTGAAATTCTGTAGCTTTTCCAGTTTATGTCTTTTTTAATGAGTTTCCATACAGGCAATAGGCCTACCAGAGAGGTAAAGGGATTATTGAATGTGTAAATCTTGAGTCTTGAAATGAAAGCCAAGTATCAGGACATAGCATTAACTCACTGTATCACTCCGAGAACATTGTGACAAAAGGGAAAAATTGCTAAGAGGACTTTCTAGTTTATGAAAAATATAGTTTTAAAAATTATAATTGCCATCATTTCCCACTTAGGTGATTGTTCACAGTCAGTATCAAAATTCCAAAAGAATGTCCATTTTTTTTGAGCATGCAAGATGAAATTGAGACGGAAGAGATCATCAAGGACATTTTCAAACAAGACAAAATCTGCTTCATCCCTTGGTACCAGTTCCAGAGCAATCACATGGACATGGTGAGATTAACATCACCTGAAGAGATCTCTTTACTTCCCAAAACATCCTGGAATATTCATCAGCCCGCTGAGGGAGATGTTCGGGAGGAGGCCTTGTCCACTGGTAAGGCATCACTTCTCACCTCAGAACACTTACCTAGATGCATCCTATTTCATCTGATTTTAGATGCTAAGTGTGGTCAGGCTTGGCTAGTTTGGGAGAATTAATGTCTTTGAATGTTTGGTAATTTCATCAAATATTTTCCTCGCCAACTCCTCATATCCTGTGTGTATGTGTGTGTAAGATAGGTTCTCACTATGTAGTCAAGTCTGGCTTCCAACTCAAACTCCTGCCTCTCCAGTGCTGAGCTCATAGGCATATACTACCTCTCTGACTTCTCCCAAATAGTTTCATCTATGTTATGTCATATCGTATGTATAGGAAGATAAGGCCCTGTGCCTGAAAGGATTCACACTGTATCTAGGAAGGCAGCAATGTTGTACTAACGAAGCATCCCAACTTGTACTATACATCAAATGTAAGTATTCAATAAAAAGATATTGAGTATTGAAAACATTAAAGTTCAGGGATTGGTCTTGAAAACTGTGCACTCCCAATACTTGTTTATTCATTTTCATCCTCTGCTCTTTATTCACACCTTGTTTGTGGCCTCGGTGGCTTTTGCTCCCATGATACTTGCAACCCAAGTTGCAGTGGATGGAGTATGACACTGTAGATTCTCTCAGTCGTGGTATGAGACAGAGATCCCTGCTGTTGTTGAAGGAACTATCTGAGCAGGCAGGCTCGTTGTGGTGGAGACCTAGTTCCCATAGTAGTGGCGTTAACTGGCCTGTTGTTCTCACAGAGGCAGGTTTTGCTTGCATGTTGTCATAGTTCCTCTTCTTTGAGCTGTCCTGTTTAGCTTTGTATTAAGCAGCAAGATGTCCCACCACACCTTAATTCTACATTTCTAAATTTATTCTTTTTATTGTATTTCTGTTTGTAGCTAGCTTGTGCCCATAAAATTACCCTTGTCTCTCCTTCTTAACCATCCAATTATCAAGTATTACCAGGATTTTCTTTGTAATATATTTGTATGCAGTGCATGTGTGTGGTATGTGTATATGTGTGTGGACAGGTGTGTGTACCCATGTGTAGGAGTAGAAGCCAAGGAAGCGTGTTGCGTGTTCTGCTCTATTGCTTCCTTACTGCTTTGCCATGGTTCCTCACTGAGCCTGGAACTAGGCTGGCATCCAGCAAGCCCCATTCATCCTCCTGTTTCTCCCACATCCCCATGGTGGATCACACAGCTGGCTTTTACATTGGTGCTAGGGTTTGAAATCAGGTCCTCACATTTACACAGCAAGCATTCTTCACCACTCTGACATTTCCCCAGCCCCACTTTGTAAAATTTTTACCACCTGCTTCTAAGCATAGCCATCTTTGTCTCTAATGTTTAAGTCTCTACAGCTATTCCCCTAGAATGAATTTCACACTGGTTTCCTGGTCATATGAATTCCTCTCAGATGTCTTTACACACCTCCTCCATCTGTTAGGTCTTTTCCTGTACACTGTAATGATCTCTGTATCTGGCTGACAGTACTTCCTGCTCATCTGTTGTGGCCCAAAGCAGGGACGTTGGATAACTCCAAAGTGCAGGCTGCTGTTTGAACTAGTCTGTCCCCATTCTCCCTGCTCCTCCCCAGTGCAGTGTGCTTCCTTTCCTCTCCCACAGTGCTCTGCTGAAGGACAGCATTTCCTAACAGTTGACAGTGAGAGATTCAGGACTGCTCTCTAGTTTTACTCCTTTCCAACTGTGTGACATCACTCCTTCCAGTTTCAGACATCTCCCCCAGACATGGAGCTCATGAAGCCTACCCATGGGCTGCTGTAGAACTTCATGAGATAATGTCTGAAAGGTAGCAGGTGCATAGTAGGTGCTCAGTGAAGGTGCCCCATGCTGATGTGGCTGCTGTTTTGCTGTGGGCGAGTTATCATGTGTGTGGAGTTCTGTGAAAGTGCGGCTTTCTATATTCCAGGCTAGAATGAATCACACGTTTCTTCAGGAGAGAACATTACAGACCAGTGCCTGAGATCACTGGCTCTCAAGTGGCAATCTGGGTTCAGTTCTTTACCAACTTGGCAAATTACTTAATATCTGAAAGCACCCGAGAGCTGGGAATAATAAAGCTGTTTTGTAAAGGGGTAAAGTAGGATGATTTACAATTAAATGCTACACAGTGTGTTGCCATGAGGAATCAGTAAAATGCAGCCATCATCATTAAGTGCTGAGTACTTTCCCTGGCTTTCTCAATACCCTGGTCTTTATCGTCTCGGATTCTTAAATCCTTGGCACTTACTGTGAATCCCCATGTTTTATTAATTCTTCTTAGGAGTATATTTCTTTCTGTGCTAATAGACTCAGTCTCTTTAGCAGCCTGGGATATGGTCTTGAATTTATCTTCTCTTAAGGTTGGCTTTGGGAAAGTCATTGAGTTAAGAGAAACATGGAATGCTCTCTGACTGCGGATGCTGGCATACCTGCAGTGGAGGCTGGGAATTGGCTGGGATACCTTGTGTATTTTTCATGTTAAAGGTTTGTTGAACAGGCTTCTATCTGTACCCCAGGGGTACACTGAGATAGTTGCTAGGCCCCAGATCAGATCACTATCTGATAGCACACCTGCCTCTGTTGTTTGTAGGCCAAACAAATGTGTTAGTTATTAGGCTGAATGTCTAGAGTGGCCAACTAGTCCCAAGGACCAGGCCAGACTGTCACAGCTTTAGGATTCTCAGCCAGCTGGTGGAAAATCGGGGACACTGCCGCACAGATGACTGCCATCCGCTCAGGGGAGCGTTTGGTTTTGGTGTAGTTTTTACTACACATAGAAATACATTGCTAAGGATCCCACATGGTTTGGTATTTGGTGTGGTTTGTAGCAGCTCTTCTCATACAGGAAGTGTGCTTGCAAACCTTTAACCATTTTGTTAATCCTGAGATTTGAAAGAGAAAAACCAGTTCCACAATTTTGAGGCAACTTTGAAGCAAGCTTTATTTAAGTACTGACCAGGATGTACTCAGATCAGGACCACTCTCTGGAATCCCAGCGAGTAGTGGCAAGACACATTGTAGGGCCTTTTTAAGGACAAATGCATTCAGCCACTGTGTTTCCCGTTGGGCTTTGTACAACTCCCACCATTCCAGGAAGTTACCTGATCTTTGGGCGGGTGGGGCTTACAGATTAATTTTGAGTTTTCAGTGTCTCCTGTAAACACAACAGAAATGATATTCATTGATTTTATTCAAACTTTTGAAATAGATAGTCTTAGCTGAAAATAAATCAAACAGTTGTCCTTTTCATATGTGCTTTTGTACATTTGTCTGTCCTGATGGTGGTTGGGTGGCTTCCTTCTCTGGACCCTAGAGAACATTTTCTTCAGATTTAGACATTCGAGAAAGCAGAACAAATCCTTACTGTCCCTATATAGTCTTCCCTGTATTCCAGTGAGTTACCTGTAGCCCAGAGAGGTCAAGTAACTTTTTAGAGGACCTACAGGCAGTTAATGAGAGTGGGAGGCCATCAATTCTCTAGTTTTCCAGTCTAGTGCATCTCCCTTTTACAGTGAGCTCTCGGGTAGCCCAGGCAGGTCTAGAGTTCACTGTGTGGCTGAGGATGGCTTTGAATTTGTGTTGCTCCTGCCTCTCCCACCCAGGTGCTTGTACTACAGTCATTTGCTGCCATGCCCAGTTTACGCAGAGCTGGAAAGTGAACCGGGGCTTCTTGTGCACTGAGTCTGCATCTCCAGTCCACTCCCTGCCCCACTCAGTGCCCCTTGAACTACTTTCCAGGATGCTTTTCATTGAGACTGCTACACTGCCTGTGTTTTCCTTGTCCCTGATGCTGTTCCATTAGAACCGCTGTACAGGGAACTGGTAACCCTGGAGATTGCATTCAGTGGGACATTGTTGTGTTTTTCCTGAGGAACAACTTGTGCAGAGTCCCACGTATCTAAGTCCATACTGCTCATGAATTAATCTCTTTCTGTAGTCATTTTGTACTCAAATAAGCACAGACAAGCCAGTTTGGGCTTTTAATTTGAATGGTAAGTGCACTCATGTTAGGTTTCCCTGGATCTGTACCAGAACGTTCTATTTTATATTTTGTAGTAGCGACTGTAGAATATATCCTGGTTTTCCCAAGTGATAATTTACTTCTGGTTTAACTCTCAATGCATTGAGATTAGGAGATCCTTCCTTAGGGATTGTAGCCAATCCTTGCTAGCCGGGGTAGCCTGCTGAATATCAGTTCAGGCATAGTGATTCACTGACTGTGCTTTTGAATACATGCTTATCTTAAAAGGACTAAACCAGCTGATTCAGAACTCTTTGTATAGCTTGAAGCTGTCATAGTACCTTTCCTATTCTTTTCTTATTGCCTGTGATTGAGACATTAAAATTGCTATTAGGTTTAAGTTTCTGTCCAAATTCAATTCTTAGAAGCCCCAGACTTTTAAAAGGAAGTTTGAATTATAAGCAAATGAATTAATAAAGTTATAATATATTGTAGCATTTTCTAGGAAGTTGTGTCAGAGTTTTTTTTAATTGAAAAATGAGGGTAAAAGGAGATTTTTAAAGTAAACCTTGTCAATAAATGAAAGTTTGCCTTCACCTCTGATGACCTTAACAGATACCGAATTCTTTTCCATGGGGTACTGAAGCCTACTCTATCTGCTTTCTTTAAATGTTCCTGCAACTGATACCTTACCTCAACCACATAGCATCACTCTACCTGTGGAAGTCATTTTCATTGCCTAGAAAATAATTCTAGATTCTGTGGCAAGGAAGAAGAAAAGAGGGGTTTCATATTTTCCCTGTCCTTTGTTTTGGGGAAGGTCTCTGCCTTCATTCAACTGCTTACCTGGACTGAATGTCACCTTCTTTCTCTGACTTCTGGAGGCTTTCATCTTTTGTTTGTGGGGAGTGGGAAATAGAGTCTATATAACCTACCCTAGTCTTGAACTTGCCATATTGTCCAGGTTGGCCCGATACTTACAATCTTGAACATCAGCTTCCAGAGCTGAGACTGGCTGAGAACCACTTTGGCCAGGTCCTGCTCAAATCC